CAGTAAATACTACACTAAAAGCACAGGCCACCAAAATGGATACACAGAACATGCTCAAAATAAAACCCTTGGGCTTCAGGGGTGCCTGGGCGGCTTGGTGTGTCAATGGTCTGACTCTTGGTTTTGGCTCAGGTCATAATCTCACAGTTCGTGAGTTTGAGCCTCGCATTAAGGTCATGATCTCACAGTTTCTGAGTTTGAGCCCCGTGTCGGGCTCTGCCCTGACACTGTGGAGCCTGCTTGGGATTCTCTCTCCTCTCTGTACCCCCTGGCTCTGTCTGTCTCTCAAATAATAAACTTAAGAACAAAAACAAACATGGGGCACCTGGGTGGCTCAGTCAGTTAAGCGTCCGACTTCAGCTCAGGTCATGATCCCACAGTTCGTGGGTTTGAGCCCCGCATCGGGCTCTGTGCTAACAGCTACCTCAGAGCCTGGAGCCTGCTTCTGATTTTGTATTTCCCTCTCTCTCTGACCCTCCCCTCTTCATGCTGTCTCTCTCAGAAATAAATAAAACATTAAAAAATTAAAAACAAACCAAAAACAAATAAACAAACCAAAACTATTGTGCTTCAAAGGACATGACACATGTGATGAGGGTCTTGTGCTCCAAAAACATAAATAATGCTCACAACTTACTAACAAAAAAGACAACCCAACTGAAAAGTGGCAGATTTGAATAGACATTTCTCCAAAGAAGATCCACAAATGACTCACAAGGACATGTAAAGATGCTCGACATCATAAGTCATCGGGAAAATGCAAGTCTAAACCACAAGGAGACACCACTTCACACCCACAGGGGGGCCAGAATCAAACAGACAGATAATAACAGCCACTGGCCAGGACGCAGGGTCACCGCAGAGGTAAGGAGAGCAGCTCCCGTGGAAAATAGTCTGGCAGCCTCTCCAACAATTAAGTGCAGTTGGTACAAGATCTGGCAACCCCACTCCTACGTATGGACCCAAGAGAAAGGAAAACACGCGTCCCTGCAGAAACCTGTACATGAGTGTTCATGGCACCGTTACCCCTAACAGCTCCACACTGGAAAAAGCTCCAAAGCCCATTAACAGGTGGAAGGGTAAATAAAATGTGGCCTATCCACACAACATGGTATCATTCGGCCCCAGAAAGGAGTGAGGCACCGGCACCTGCCACAGTGTGGATGACCGTGGGGTGAAAGGAGCCAGTCACATTTATATGTGATTCTGTTTACAGGAAATTCCAGAACAGGTAAATCCCAGAGACACAGATGGATTAGTGGCGTCCGGGCCTACAGGGTGGGCGAGGGGGGCCCGGGGGTTGATGGTAACACCGTACGGGTTCTTTCTGGAGTCACCAGAAGGTTCTAACACGGATTGTGGTGGACGCTCATTTCTGTGAATACACTACAAGCTATTGAGTCGTAGGCTTTCAGCAAGTGAACTATATGATACGTGAGTTACGTTTTGACCCTAACGTGTTAGAAATCTTACTTTAACCCTAAAGCAAGAATGTCCAGAAACTTGTGAGCTAATGTGCTAGGGTGTGGTGTTCAATGACTTCAGGGCACCTGGGTGGCTTAGTCGGTTGGGCGTCCAACTTTGGCTCAGGTCATGATCTTCCAGTTTGTGGGTTCGAGCCCCGCATCGGGCTCTGTGCTGACAGCTCAGAGCCTGGAGCCTGTTTCAGATTCTGTGTCTCCCTCTCTGTCTCTGACCCTCCCCTGCTCATGCTGTCTCTCTCTCTCTCAAAAATAAATAAAACATTAAAAAAATATGTAACCATGAAACTCTAAGTAGTCGTTTATGTGCACATAAATCACACTTTGCAGGACCCATCTCCATCCCCGTCTCACTGGCCGTCTCTCTTCTAGAACTCGTAACTTACATCCCTCTGGAGGAAAAGTACCACCATCTAATTCATTCATAATATTGTACTGACAGCTTACAAAACTTTTAGCAGCTCATAGAACAAAGTTTTTCTTAAAAAGAACTATTAATCACAGATTTTAATTTTTTAATGCTACGGTTATAAACCACAGTGTTTTCATATTCAGACCACAGCCACTGGGGACAGGAATGGCATGTGCAGCCTCCTCGGGTCCTGGGCCCGGGGCCCCTGGGTCATCAGGGAGTGGAGGCTGCTGGCCACAGTCCGTGCCAGACTCAGGGCACGGTCAGAGGAGGGGAGTCCGGGGCCTGGAAATACCTGGATGTGACCCAGCAGAGCAGCAAGAGGGCAGGACGAGAGGGCCCATGCCGACCGCTTGTAACCCTTGCTCTGTGCCCACCCTGCCGGCAGGCCCTCTGCCCAGGAGCGCACTGTGTGCAGGGGAGAGAGCCTGGCTCTCCTCAGGATGCCCACCATGGCTCTGACAGTCTAGCTGGCAGGCCATGGACATCTGCTTTCCCTTTCTGGCCTCAGTTTCCCCAGCTGCCTAGAGATTCTCACCCCTGTTTCTATGGCTTCAGCCTGGCCTCAGCACCCTCACGGGCCTTTGCTGAGTCCCTGCAGAAACCCTGCCCCAGGCTGTCCATGGGTGGCCTCTGCCTTCAGTTGTTTCTCCTTCCTGCTATAGACGGGCTAGGGGCTGAGAGTTCAGGAGAGAAGGGGCAGACATGAGCGACGTGAGCGACATGAGTGACGTGAGTGATGTGAGTGACGTGAGCTTTCTGGGGACACAGGGGCCTGGCTGTCCTACCCTGCTAGACTTCTGTACTGCTCAGTGACTGTAGAGCCCACCAAGGCGGGGGCACCTGGGGGAGGCTGGGAAGGAGGGGCTGGGGGAGGCCGCAGTGGAGGCCAGAAGCAGGGGAAGCTAGGGGAGAGGGGAGACCTGGAAGAGGAGGAGTCTGGGCTGGGGCCGGGCAGGGGGAGGCCAGGTGGGGGCGGAGACCAGGCACCCTGGACTCTTGGCTCAACCTTGGGTGACGTTCACGGCTTCTCCAAGCCCTGGCGCCGTCCCCTTTATACGGCAGGACAGCAGCAAGAATACTACTACTTCCTGTAGCTCACAGAGGCGCTCTGAAGACAAAACAACAAACGTGTAAACCCTGGGCACAGAGCCTGGCCCAGGGAATGCCGGGCCGGCCACGCCTGCATGAGCAGCCACTCAGGCAGCGTCACCAGGGCTGCTGTTGCTGCTGCCCACACCGCACCCTGACCGCAGGCGTTCACACAGATCCTGTCCCCATTGAGGGACAGGAAGGGCACTGTTGTGACATCAAGGGACCTAGAAGTTGCCCTTCTGCAAAGCTCCACTGTGAGAGGCCACGACCTCTCAACTGTTTCCTCTCAACAGGGGCCAAAACCATGAAGAAGCCCAAAGAGGATGGAAAGTTTCACAAGGAACCCATGCCTGCCTCAGGCCTCATCTCCTTCCAGAATGTTCCACGAGGAGCGCACCACGCCCGCCCCCAGGCCTCAGTCCCCTCCAGAATGTTCCATGAGGAGCCCACGCCTGTCCCCAGGCTGCATACCCTCTAGCTGTCTCTCCCCAGTCCTCCCTCATGAGTCAGGGGTACATGAACCCACGCTGGTCGTCCACATGGCTGCCTCCAGCCATCCTCCTGCAATGGCCTTTTCTACGGCTCCCTTTTCCATAAGATTCTCCGGGAGGAGACCTGAACTTCCCTTCCTGCACAGACACAGGGAAGGAGGTGCTGTGCATGAACCCTCGACAGACGCGGAGGTGGCTTCATTCACCATGCCTCAGCATATCACTGTATCCCGGTGGCCCCAGGTCTGTTGCCCACCCCTGGTGTCCTTTGTCTCGCCTATGTGAATAAGGTTCTCAGTCCCACCTGCTCCAGGCAGCCCCAGGTCACAGACAGGTCAAGCGGACCCTCGCGGAAGCCCCCAGCAGGACATCTGTCCCAAGGAATGAGAGCAAGAGTCCCAGAAACACCCTGGACACAACATCAGACCTTTGGTCACAAGTTACACACTAGCAGCTACATTTTGTTTGGAATGCTTCTCAATTAGTTACCATCATTCTCAAAATTTGAAAAGTAAGCAGAAAAGATCTCTGTATTTCTAGCTTATCCTGAGAATTGAATGTCAGGACAGACGGCCAAGATCTGGTGAACAAAAGACAGCTTCTCCGACCGGCAGAGCCCGTGGTTTGTAGCCTGGGACAGTCCCACCACGCCCAGAGAAGCAGGCTCACACACAACTTGCACGGTCCGTGTGGGTTCTCGGGGGTGCAGCAAACCTTGCCGGTGCACAAGCAGCCTTGTTGGAGCTAACAAAGATGGCGGAGCAACCTTGGACCACAGGGTAGATAGCCAAGCCCCAGGGCAATCAAGGCAGACATCAAAACCATGATGCTCCTTGTGAATTTTCTTGGGGTGGCCCGGCTTTCAAATATCCTTTCTCACCATTCCCACAAATTTTCATGTGCCAGTGAGCGCCTTAATATTTATTTTGGTAGCAATGTCTCTGCTTTATTTAGAACAGGAAACTACAGTTGCGGGTCCATCCAGCCCACTGCGAGTTTTATAAATAAAGCTTTATTGGCACACAGCCACGTCTGTTCACTTACATATCGTTTGGCTGCTTTAGGGCTAGGACAGCAGAGCTGACTGGTTGAGACACAGACCATACGGCCTGCCAAACCTAAAATATCTGTTGGCTGGCCCTTGATAGGAAAAGTTTGCTGACCCCTGAGGCATGCAGGAGAGGTGGAAGTCACTTCTTCAGGGGCATTCTTTGTTGTCCACATTCAGGCTCCTGGTTTCAAACACTTACGCTCACTGGGGTAGGAATGATCTGCCAGTGGATGAAGGCAGAGAGGGGGAGGACTGGGGAGGCCAGGAAGAGGAGGGGGTAGGGTACAGGATCCTTGTGCTGCCCACTTGCCTTGATGGGGAGAAAGCCCAGATTAGTCACCCACAGTTCACCCCAAACACCTCCGGGAGGAAACGCTGCATTTTCCACTAGAAACTGGGTGCCTGCACACTCCAGCATGGACCTGTCCCCACACCTGGCCCCCTCGTCCCAACCAGCCCCCAGCACTTACTTCATGGGTTTGAACAGGGCTTGCCCATAATTCTGGAACGTCATGATGAGCTTGAGCTGTGTGCCCCCCGACTTCATGGCTGCAAGAGAGAGGGAAAGAGACACAGGGTCACTTGCTGCCCTCAGAATCATCCCTTTGTGGGCAAGTGAGCAGCTCCTTCCCTGGTCCCCTGGCCCCGCCTGGGCCTCTGGATGTGGCCGAGGGCCCCGTTCTGCCTGGGAATTCTGGGGTTTCCTGCACTGACACTGATATACAGCCCAACCTGACTCCGGCTGGGTGCGAAATCTCTCAGACAGTCTGACCTATAGATAACGGGAATGGCTTCTAGAAAAGATGGCCAGGTATAGATACCTGCCAGCAATGCCTCCTCCCCCAGACACCTGCATGACCTCATCACACACACACACACACACACACACACACACACACACACACACACCTACACACCACTGCTTGCCCAGTCTAGGTTTCTGGGATTCTGTGGGTAACCTGAACAGGGTTAGTCTGAGGAAACCCTGAAGACCCCTTGGCTGGGAGCACCTCATTCATCATAGGGGCCATCCAGGAGTGCCATACTGGAGGGGCGCCATACTGGAGGGGCACCATACTGGAGCATGCCATACTGGAGGGTACCATACTGGAGGGGTGCCATACTGGAGACTACCATACTGGAGGGTGCCATACTGGAAGGTTCCATAGTGGAAGGTGCCATACTGGAGGGCATCATACTGGAGGGTGCCATAGTAGAGGGCGCCATACTGGAGGGCACCATAGTGGAGGGTACCATAGTGGAGGATGCCATACTGGAGGGTGCCATAGTGGAAGGTGCCATACTGGAGGGCGCCATACTGGAGGGTGCCATACTGGAAGGTACCATACTGGAGGGTGCCATACTGGAGGGTACCATAGTGGAGAGTGCCATACTGGAGGGCACCATACTGGAGGGTACCCACTGGAGTGTGCCATACCTGGGGGTACCATACTGGAGGAACACCATCTTGGGGGTGCACCATGCTAGAGGGGTGCCATACTAGGGGTGGGCCATACTGGGGGTGCACCATGCTGGAGGGCACTATACTGGGGGGCTTTGGTGTGGAGGAGCCCTGAGACTGGAGTCTCTGCCCAGCTCCTTATGGCCTGGTGCCCTTGAAGGAGTCCTCAGTCTCCCAAATGTCAGTTTGTGTCAGATGGTGTTTAGATACCTGCCCAGCCTCCCTCATGGGGCTGTGGCAAGGGTCCAGACAAATAAGGGAAATGTATTTCTTGACTTGGCAGTGCCTTTGCTCACATGCGGCATGGGGATGACCATCCTATCTACCTCCCAGGACTGCTGTCACAATTGAGTAGGTAATCTTCTGAAGCATTTAGAACCGACTATACGGGTACACTGCACATTCAAGACGGCCGACAGTCATGAGTGGGGAGAATGGCCAGGAGCTCAAACCTCCCTGAGTGTCTTCAGTGGCCTCAGGGCTTCTGTGAGGGCCGAGGCCCAGTCCATCCTCCAAGCTCCCAACCCAGCCACGGCCCCCTCCTTCCTATGCAGAGTCTGAGGCCGGTCTTGGAGTCCAGGTGATGCTGGAGGCATAGTGTCCCCCAGACCAGCCTGTGATGTGCATCTGTTCTGACGCTTTTCCAACCTGTGCCCTCCTCAGGAAAACAAAGCCAGAAACAAATGCCACTTCACTCCAAAACACTGGAAATAACCCAAAATGCCCGCCCCCGGGGGCAGACGTACGATGCAGCTAATCCCGCATGAAGGAGTACTATGCAGCCTTCTCACTGGCTCCACAGAATTTCTACTGATACAAAGAACAGCTTAGTATTTATGACCAAGCAAATATTTATGCTTGGTGAGCCGCCTCTTCAGAAGATGCGTACCAAGCGTGTGGGGAAATCTGGGTGCACAGATAAGCTTCAGTGGTTCCCCCCCAAGAATAGAGCTACAGATGATTTTAATTTCCTTTTTCCCTTATCTGTGCTTCCTAAATTTTTACAATGAACATTTATTATATTTTTAATAAGATGAACACAGAAGTGGTTATTAAAAAAATTAGAGGCCCGATTAAGCCCCATTCAATGTCCCCATTTCCATGTAATAACTGGGGTCACTGGATTTAATTATTCCTTCCAAGGCCAATCAGGGACAGCGCATCAGCTCTTTCCAGGGCCTGTAATCCCGGTTTTCTTGAATAATAAATTATTATGCAAATCTGGCCTGTTTAGTCATTCTTGTTCTGGAAGGCAAATCTCTATATGCACTGCCGACCCTTGTTTCCCTGCTGCATTACTCGTTCTTCCCCATGGAGCAAGCGAGTAACTAGAAATTAAAGTGTGTTAGAATCTCCTGGTGACTCAGGACTCCAGGAAGACCACCTCCTCTGGATACCACCTTTCTCTTGTCTGGGGACATGGGCCTTCCTGTCTGCCAAGCTGGGGTTGACAGCCGGAAGACACTCGGAATTCTGCTTGAAAATCGGGTATGGCCTCCCTGCCAAAACCCACAGGCAAACCACCTTCAGTCATGGTGAAGGTCACGTGTTCGCCTGGGGTGGGAAAGAGGCAGACACCGCCATGAGCCTGTGTTCAGAAGTGGGTGGCCTCACTCTGCTGCTGCAGAATGGACCTGTGGAGGTGGTCAGGGCTGAGGGCCTAGGAGGCAGCACCGGGACACTGACTGGGCCTCAAGAAGTAGGGATCAGTTTGGGGTTTCCTCCTCAAGGCAGATTTGGGGAATCTTGCCGCAGTGCAGGGCTGCAAGGCATGATAGAAGCAGAGGCAAACCCGAGGGGAGAGGCCCAGGCGTGTGGCAAGAGCCCCCCATGACAGCAGGTGGACTTGCCCTCACCTGGCTGGGTCTCCACGCTTCCCAGGGGACTGGTGCTCATCAGACCCTAGGAAGGGACCCAGCTGAGCAGTGAGCCCCTGGTGGGTGTGAGGCCAGGCTAAGGCCAGGGCTGTCACAGCACATGTCCCAGACGCCACTTCCCTGTACCAGCCCCATCTGCCACCTTCTTTCTACCTCTGTGGCCCCACCAATCTGGACCCCACTGTCATCAAATCACTAACACACGAGGGGCACCTGAGTGATGTCCGACCTGGTTCCCTCCAGCCCCCACCGACAGCGCCTCTTGTATATGCTCTGTCCTCCCACACCCACCCCTGCAGGGACGTGCACCATTCAGACCACAATGTCCACAACGACAGCTCTGTCTCTCCGGCTATCCCTGGACAACCGTATCCTCCAGCTGTGCATTAACAGTACTGCATGAGTTAGCACTGAGTAGCGATAATTAATGACATGCGTCAGTAAGCACACGTTAGTTCATATTAACAGAGCACTGTATACTCTTTACATTTCCTGGGATCCCCTGAGGAAGGGTGGAGTTGGGCCAAGCACCGGGAGCAGCCCTGGGAGGAGGGAGACAGCCCTGAAGGGACAAGGGGTGTCGTCCAGGCCAGGGACCCCAGCAGTGCCACACCAATGGGGTGTGAGTGGGAGACACAGGCCCCTGGGCTCTGTCAGCAGGTGTCCTCACCTTGATGTTCGCAGGGACAATGACCTGGGTCTGGCACACTGGGATCAGCCACCACTCAGCTCTTTGTTTCCCATGGAAACCAGGGTCTTCTCGTTTCTTACAAAACCCCCCAACCCATAATTTGATGAGCTGCCTCCTGACTTTTAAATTAACAAGTTTCATTCTTAAGAGATCTGTGGCCCACAGGCACACGCCCATGTGTTCCTGGCCACTGGGGGGGGGGGGTGGCGCCTCTGGCGTTACTCCCCTTGGCCTCTGTCACCTCGTCTAGGAAGTGGGACCCATGCTTGTCCTTATCACGGTCAGACAGGTAGTCCAAATATTTTCACAGCCACTGCCTTATTTGAAGGGCCAGAGGAAGCAAGGGCCTCGCCATGGACGACTCACATTTGAAGAATGTGACGCTAGGAGCTCTTAAGTCACCCGTTCTTCCCTGCCCACTTCACGGGCCTCACCTCCTGCAGGACTGGGATCTGACCCGTGTTCCAGACCCCCAGGCACCAGGCAGAGCCCCTGAGGCTGCCTTTGGGCATGAGGGGCACGGACCCTCAGAGAGCAGCGTGGCGCATGTCCACTTGGCCTTCACTGCTGACCACCCTGGTGCCGGCATCGAGGGGGCTGCTCTGAGCGAGGAACTGGAAGAGGCCGTGAGGCGCTGGGTCCTCTCATCCCACTTGCCGTGATGTCTTGGCAGGACTCTACCTGACTTGTGCCCCCCAGGGTGTTTGAGCTGTAACTTCCCCCAGCCTAGACTGCTGTGTATACCATGTTCTTCAAGACCGCTCACTTCTATTTTGATAATTAAATTTACTTCAGAGAGAAAGCCCAGCACAGCCCCAGTGGGAACCCAGCACCCTCCCTGGAATGGGAAGGAACACAATAGGAATACAGGCCTGTGGGACTCTGCAGCCCCAGCTGTTGTCTCTGCTCAGAAGAAGGCAGGTGCCCAGGGGCACTTGGTGGGCTTTTGTTCTTGATCTTGGACCAGACAGCTGGAAGAAAAACCTAGGAGGGGCTCAGCTATATCACCTTCTCGGGGGTGCTGCCTGTAATCATCCTTGAGGGAGGGGCTGTGTCCTTCCTCCCCAATGACCTAAGGTGCCTCCTGCTGATGGAGCCTTGTCACTTGTCAGTTTACAGGCTGGAGAGCCAGCACCTGGAGTCTGGGCCCCAAGTGGCCCCCGGGCGGGAGGGGGACTATGGCCTCTTTGAGGCTGGAACTGCCTTCCTGAGGAGCTGGCCTCTGACCAATTAGACAGGGCAGCCTCCAGGAGACCCCAGAGCAGTTGCCCACCCTGGGCAGCCCCAGCCTCAGCCTTTGTTCCTGGAAGCTTGCTGGCCCATTAGCCCCTGATCCAGCTAGATCAGTTAGCGCCCAGCACTTCATTCTTCGTTCAGAGACCGACCACGGTGGTCGACCGCGTCCTAACCTGGATGGAGCAGCAGTGGTGTCTTCCAGCCGGAGGCTGCCTGGATCCTCTCACACCGGTGTGACTTCTTTTCCTTTTTAAGCAATTCCAAGTACAGAGCAGTTAATTGTGTCATTTATTCTTTGCATCCATAATTGTGCACGATAGCGATTTAATTATCACCGGCCCGAGCCGAAGGCGCTGCATGCCTGATTTCAAGCTGAATAGAGGTAGATAACGTCCCAAACCTCTTTAAAGGCCGCGAACGGCCGTTACCAAGCAGCCAGGAGCCCGGCTATAAATAAATGTCTGTCGGCCATAGCAGCTGTACTGAAGGCCACATGTGCTTCATGAAGTGGATCGAGCGGTTCTGAACGGGGGCGATTCGATGGAGCCATTCTGAGAAGAAGGTCTGCAAGCTTGCAGGAACAGTGTTTCCGGGATTTGATAACACGGTGCACAACTTGAAGATGAAAGGGGCCGATGTGGCCAGATGGCTAAAGGGACAGAGCTCTGAGCCCGGAACAGGGATGCTCGAGCTCCACCTCACGGGGAGGGAAAGGAGGGGGGGAAGGTTTCCTGTTTGCAGAAGTGGCTTCAGAGGTGGGGTGGATCTCCAGCTCTTTACACTTAGACTCTCCTGTACACTGCCAGTGTGAGTCAATGTGATTTCTACATCTTTCTCCCATTTCATGTTCAGGAGGGTGGCATTGCTGCACCTTGACCCTGAGGCAGGCTTGGGCTCCAGTAAAGAGGCGCCATCTAGGGTTCCCCCACAAGACCCTCAAAGGCTGTGCCCAACTCCGGGTCATAGCAGTGACAGGCACAGCAGACAGCTCCTACCTAGGGCCTCCATTTACAAATCTACCCAGCTGGCTCCCCTAAGCCACGGGCCCAGCCAGGGGCTAACGTCTCAAGCAGCTGGGTTTTTAACCAAAACATCCAACTGGACATGGGGGCAGACGCCACCCAGCAAGCGTGCATCTTTGAGGGAGCTCACCTGGAAGCTCACCACGGCAGCAGGGAGTGTGGGGCCAAGCGTCGGCTGAGGCCCTCCACTAGTTTGTCCAGCACAGGCTTCTCTGGGCAAGGAGGCTCTGGTCTGCTCCTGGATGCTGCCCTGACACACACACCTGCCTGCAGAGACTCCTTCGCCTCTATTTTTACATCTTTCTCTTATTTGCTCCTTGAAGTGTCTCGGCAACCCCACAATACAGGTTTCATAGGGCCATGCCACTCATCAAACATCTCAGATGATAGAAGGCGCAAATAAAATGCATCCATCCCACCTTAGGTGGCGGCCCAGATAGGCCTGGGCAGAACCCCGTAGTTAAACACACTCTTCCTTCCTCAGAGGAACACACGAATATTCACTCCAAAGGAGAATAATAAGGGCTCACAGACAGACTTGTGAGTTTAGGTTTTGCCCCCATGTAAGTTCAGGTTGAGTCAGGTTCTGCTGTTGAACAGGTTACGCTTGGATTTCAGATTTGCAAATGGAGGGTCTAGGTCATAACCATCTTTATGTTCCACACGAGAACCCAAAGTGCTAGAGATTAATCTGCTAGGCCAGGCTCACGCCAGGCGCCAGGGACATCAATCAGCCTTCCAGCACCGGCCAGGTCCTGCACAGTGAGGGAGAAGGACCTGCGAGGCCAGAGTCGTCTGGGAGGGAGTGATATCATCACAGACAGCCCACCAGAGACAGATGGGCAAGAAATCACCCCCTCCCCCGCCTCTTTTACACCACCATGCATGGGCCAAACTGGACCCTGGGATGAGATCCCCAGCCACGGGCTCGGTCCACCATGGACAGGCAACTTAGCCACCGCTGCCCAGGGCAGACCAAAAGTGGGTGGGAGATGCCTCAAGGCCAGGCCCTTGGGGGGACAGAGAGAGCAGGGTGTCTAGGGTAGGCAATGTGCCCGAGAGCCCCAGAGGCCTGTCTTCTGCCTGAGCTGCTCCCTGAGCTGCTGGGCCCTGTCCTCTGCATGGCATGGGTGTCCAAAGAGGCTGGAGGCTGTCTTCCCTGAAGGCTATGGTGAGCCTGGCCAGCCACAGGAGTCCCAGCAGCCCTCCCTGCGCCCCAGACCCTGCACTTGGGGGTGGTGGCCCTGCAAGCACGTGATGTTAACATTTGCACACTCGCTCACAAGCATCGTCTTATTAGAACAAATGCAATGTACCTGGGCAGGCACAAGCCCATTTGACAGATGGGGAAACTGAGGCAGAGAACGGCACCAAGGACAGCAGCAGAGCAGGCTCTTTTCACATAGTCTTCTCTAAAACCATTTGCAATTTAAAATGTTATTCTTTTCCCGGAAAGCCCAGCCCTCCCTGCGCCCTTCTGTGACATCGTGGATGCTTCATCTCAGCCTCAGGTCAGACCTCTTCATAGAGGGTCCTCTGTGCCTCTCCTTCCAGATGGATGCCTCCTCCTTTCTAAACTCTCCTCCTAGATTTTGTGTGAATAGTGTTCAAAGCATGTGTCCTTTCTCATAGTGTGTCCGTTCCCTGGCCTCCCTGAGCCTCTCAGGTCTTCTGTGTGGCGGAATCTTGTTGGGGTCCATTCATCCTCAACCCACTACCCAGGAAGGGGCCTGGAGTTCAGGAGGTGCCCAAGAACATCTGCTGAATGGGCTAGTGAGTTGGTCAGTGCCCTGGATACTTCTTTAATGGCCTCGTCTCCTTTCAGGAGTGAAAAGGGCACCCTAGCTGTGGCTTTCTATGGCACAATTCTTGTCATGCACACAGCCGCCTTCCCAGCCCCACCTAAAGCATCTGACGCCTGCAAGAGGCAGGAGGGAGGCTTGGCGTCCCATGGGGACAGCTGGGGCAAGGCTGGGGTCTGGGGAGGTGCTCAGACCCCTCCTGCACAGCCAGCTAAGAAAGGAAGACGCCAGCTCATTCCTGCCAGCTCTTCTTCACAAGGCTGAGCAACCTAGCATGCGTCAAGGCAAGTGTCCAGCAGACAGCTTGGTACCAGACAGAGAGAACAGAAACAGCCCCTAAAGACCCCTGCAAAACCCACTTGCCAGCCCATCTCCCCTGTGTCAGAAGCTGGACAGAGTCCCAGGGCACTGGGACCCTTTCAGCATCGCGGCTACTTGGGAAAATACCAGAAAACTGTGTCAGAGAACTGCCTGACACTGTGAGGGCAGGGAGCCTACACTCATGTTACCCCCGACTGGCCTCCCTCCACGCCTTCCTGGCCATGGTACCTAGGCAGGCTCCTGGCAGCTTCCACCGAAGGGCCTCAGCCCATCCCTCACTGCCTCCTCAAGGCACCCCTGAGCTGTCACTGCCACCAGTGACTAACGGGAACAATCACAGACAATTGCCTACAGGCCTGAGAACAATGGCACCCAACCTCCATCATCAGAAACTGCCGCTGACACATTTTCCTGAAGTCAGTCATCAGATGCCCCTTTTTGTCTGACTCAGCAGATCCCAAAATACTCAGAGATGTTGCCTCTGAATTACGAAGTGCACGGGCCTCCACCCCAGACAGTGTCAAGCCCTGGTCACTCCTCAGGCACAGGACAAGGCAGGGGCACCTGGCAGAGCTCTGATGCCGAGCTGATCCAAAAGCACCAGCCTGTGAGTTCTGCACTGTGTCTCCCTCCTGTGCTGGGGGAGGTGCCCCTGCCACCAGGGGGCGTGCCCTTCTTTACCCCTGGAGGGGAAACCTGAAGTCTGGAAAGTGCTCCTCCGGAGGACCTCCGCCTTCACGTGGGGAAGCAGAATGCAACAGCAAAGCTGTAAGGCACCCCTCCCTCCCTCGCTAGACTTGTCACAGTGCCGGCACACACAGTGGACGGCAGCCCCCGGCCGCTGACGGCCTGGAAGGCATCCCTCCCCTCCCAGAAGGTGCCTCATAAATCATCTCAGGAGGTGATGCTCCGGCAAGGGCCGATGGCTTCCCAGCTCTCCTGCGGGGAAGAAGCAGCCCCAGCCCACCTGCCCCAATGGAAGAGCACAGTGAGGGCACCTACCGACGCTGGTGATTTTCTGGGCACTGAGGTCACGCAGCAGGGCTTCGATTGCTGGGTTATGTCTCGAGTATAGCTCATACCGGTTGATACCGATGTGGAACTTTAGCCAGTTGGGGTACGAGTCCACTGCTGCCTCCCCAGTGGGCAAGAATTCTTCGTTTTCAGTGCCTTCACGGGGCCTGCAGAAAATGAAGGTGACCAGAGTCGGCAGGGAAAGAATGGAGGGGTGAGGTCCGGATGAATAAGGGGGAGCTGGTGCCAAGGCCAAGGTTTTAGACTTTGGATCCAAACAAATGCTGATTTACTCAAAGGTGCCTCTGCTCAGACAGGACCCTGTGGTGTCCGCACTTTTTCTGTGGCTGTTCTTCTACTAACTAATAACATATCCAAAGACCGTAATTCCTACTTACCCTCCGGAGGCACCCAGACAGCTATAACTAAATCAAGACCAAGCCCGTAACATCAGCACCAGGCCCTGCCTCCTCTGTCCTGGGGTCACCACAACAGCCCAACCAGCGTGATGTCAGCTTGGGGTGTGAGGGGCCATCAACTCCTCCCGGGAGCAGGCAAGCAAGCCACCTTTGACCGCGAACTGTGTGCACATGTGGACACACCTCTGGTCAGGAATCTTCCCTGGGCACTGTCTTTTGGTTCCAACAGCCAGGGGTAGAAATGATGCAAGAAGCTAAATTTGATTTTAACGAGAGCAGTCTTGGGTGGGGAGAGAGGAAAGAAGCAAGCACTCACTTCAGCTGAGGCCCAAGATGAGGACCTGCCACCCACATGGCCCATCCTAAGGTCTCTGGAGTCAGGGGGCCAGGCTGGCAGAGGACAGAGACTGTTGCTGGGCTGGAGGGAAAATGGGACTTCTCGTAGCTCTAACTCACCCACAAATAGGGCCCTTGTGGCCCCAAGTCCTGTCCCACGGGGGCAGCATCACTGGCCATCGGCTCTGGGCTCTGTCTCTCCTGTGAAGAGCTCCAGGTCTGGGCCACTGCTCTGATTCTCAAGTTTCTGAGCATTTCCTTGAACTTGGCCAGCAGTCAAAGCTCAAAGGCCACCGAACACCTTGGTGTATTTAGACAGAAAAGCCTAGGCCTGGTCAAATTTCAGAGTAGAAAGGATTTTTATGAGATGTTTTGGAAACCTGGCCTTTCCCCTGCGTTGCTTGGGTAACCCTCTTGCAGGCAGGTATTTCTTGGCTGCTAGTTAATATTTCACTTCTCTGGGTTGCAGCATCTCCTTGTTCTGACCCGTGTGGCTGAGGAGGGCCTGGGGGGAAGCGTTGACACCAGGACGGTTTAAAGAAACGCTCCTGGGATGCTTCTCACCTTTTATAAAGCTGTCACCCAACACAGCTGGCCCTGTTCCAAGGGAGGCTGCTGTCTGCGCCCTGGCTGGGAGAGCCCCTTTGTTCCACCTCATTGGGGCCAGCACGCCCCTCTGCTAATTTTGTTCTCGGCGACTGACTCACAGGGCTCATTAGGCTTCTGCAGACTTTCCTGATGTGCCCACCAGAGAAATGTTGCCCGGTGTCTGGAAGCCTGATGGCCAGCAGCTCCCCAGGGAAGGGTTAGGGGCAGGCTCCCCTCTCATTCAGTCTCTTGCCGACGCATGCATGCATTGCTGGACTCAGTGTCCGGAGCCCGTGACCAGGACCTTGCAGGTCAGCACTGCTCTCCTGTGAAGGCAGCACTGACCCTCCCTTGGCCCCACAGGGAACCACCCCCAAGCCCCCCAGAGGCCCATCTCAAGGAGGCAGTCATTCTGGAGACAAAGCAGTGCCCTGAACAAGAGGCAGTGAGCTGCCGGACCCCCAAAGCTCCCTTGAAGGGGGGGCCTCTGCCATGAGGGTCCACACCCTCTGGTTCCTGACCCTCTAGGCCTTTTTACACAATGCCTGGGAGGTGCAAGGCCTTTCCTGGGAAGGGGAGCCCGGACTGAAGGCTGGTTGAGGGGTCAGGTCCTACCAGCACCCCTAGCGAGCTGACCCCCCCCCCCCCCCCCCCCCCCCCCCCCCCCCCCCCCCCCCCCCCCCCCCCCCCCCGCCTCACTCACCAGTCAGGATTCTCAGCTGCCGCCTTGGGATTGAACCTGATGTCGCTGTTCACGTTGAAGAGGACGTCGTCCTCCGTTAGCGGTGGAATGGCCATCTGGTAGAGTGGGTGTTCAAACAGTCTAGCCAGGAGAGAGCTGTCCCCGCTGGGGCTAGGGGGTGGCACCGACCGACGGGGCCCGGGGTCTCGGAGCAGCGGTCGGTTCGCAGCGTCTCGAGGACGGGGGCCACCGCGATCCTGCCCCTGCAGGGCTCCTTCGGCCGGTTCGGCTGCAGCCGGCAGTTTCTCCAGCGAGTGGGATGTGAGGTTGGAGGAAGGGTCGGAGCTAAAGTCCTGCAGGATACGCAGCGTGTGTTTGTTAGGCCAGCCCGCGTCTCCAGCCGCGGAGGCGGCGGCTGGGAGCTCCCCAGGGCGGCCCCGCGCCTTCGCCCAGCCAGGCGCCGCCGCCTCGCCCGCGGGTTGCGCGCACGAGCAGCCGGGCTCCCCCGAGGGCCGCACGGCGCGCCGCTCCAGCTTGGGCAGCAAGTCCAACACGATGTGCAGCGCGCAGGCTACCAGGAACACCATCAGGATAAGCACGCGGAACCTACGAACCAGGATCATCTTCATGGCCGCGCGGCCTGGGACTCCGGGCGCCCTCCCGGAGCGCGCTCCGCCCGTGCCCCAGCTAGTCTTGGTTTGGCACGAACAAAGTGCCGCGGCGCGGGTCAACGTCCATCTGGCGTCGGACAGCTACCAGCTCCAGGGCTGTCCCCTGGCCCGCACCACGTGCGGGGCGCCCACTGCCCAAGCGCCCGCTCGCCGGGCCATCTCGGGGCCGTCCCCACTCTCCTGTCTGGAGTGGCCGCGCCCTTAGCGGCCGGGCCCAGCGGCCCTCTTCCGCGGAGCTGGGGGCGCAGCCGGGTGAGGCCCCGGGCACGCAGCGACCGGCGTGGGGTCTCTGCGCTCATCAGGCGCGCAGGAGCCCGACGCTACGGCCCATGTAGGCCAAAGGGGCGGTGGCCTGGGGGCGGCGGTTGAGACTGCGCGGCGCAGTCCCCTCAGCAGTTCCGTGGGCCGCGCTAGGCGCCGGGCAGGGCAGCCGGAGAAGGGGCAGTTCCTTCGGGCAGGGTTCGTCTCTGCCGCTGCCGCCCGGAGGCGGGGACCTGAAGGCCAAGCAGGGCGCAAGGACGCGGGGACCAGTTGGGGACGGGCACCGGGTTGGGGGGCGCACAGAGCGGCCGGAGAGGTCCCCGGGCAGGTGTAGCGGCCGTCCCCGGAGCGCAGCGCCCGCGCGGCCGAGCCTCTCGGCGCCCCGCGCCCGGGCCGGCAGATATCCGAGAACCGTGGAGCCGCCCCCCGCGTCAGCGCCCGCAGATTGGCGGAGACGCAGCCCCGAGAGTCACGGCCAGGCCCGAGCCGACTCCGCTCTCTTTCTCCTTTCTCCTCCCATCGGCCGCGCCCCGCGCTGCCTCTGCAGCTCCGGGCCCGCTAAGGAGAGGGCGCCTTCTTCCCGCGGTTGCCGAGAGCAGATGGAGAGACCGAAAGACGCAGGCCGGAGGGCGCGGGCGCGGCGCGCTGGCTCCTGTCGCCTGGGGGGCGCGCGCCGGCGCTGTCGCTGGGGATCCTCAGGCCGGGCTGCGGCTCCCAGGGACCTCCGCCCGCCCCGGGCGGGACGCCGCCAGCTGCAGCCTCCCGGCTCCTCCCCAGATGAGCGGAGGGCCAGAGTCCAGGCCAAGTCCCTCCCCGGAGCCGCTGGGCGTCTGCGCCGCCGGATGAGCTCCCTGCCGGGCGGCGACCTTGTGCTCCTCCTCCCCCCGCCCCCGCCTCGGGCGGTGCCCGTGGGCCCCGCTGCTGGCGAAAGGAGATGAAGGGGCGAAGGGGCGCCGCGGCTGTAGAGACAAGAGGAGATGGGTATTTGGCCAAAATAGCAAATACGGGGTGGGGGTGGAGGGATGCCAGAGCCGCGCGGAGGCTCCTGCACCGGGCTGGGGCCCTACCCCAGGGGCTCCACCCCACCCCAAGGGGACACGCCTGCGCCTTAACTCTGGTGGCACTGGCGCCCCCCAGCTAAGATTTGCTTGGCATTGAGAGGTACCTGGTGTTTGCGGAGGCCGCACCTCCTTCGCTGCTTGTGTGTGTGTGTGCCTGTGTGTCAGTGTGTCTTTTGCTTCACTAGATGCGTGAAATCAGCCACCCGTATCCAGACGTGGCGCTTCTACATGACCTCTTCCGGGCCCACACAACTCTGGGTCCCCAGCCCCCAATAGGGGATATTAATTTGAATGTCAGTCTAAAGTCCTGGTGAGAAGGGTAATGACCCTGGCCGGGGAAGGCGGTCCAGACACATCCACCACGAAGGAAACAGGCCGTGCCCTCAAGGCACTGTAAATTCTCAGCCTCGCTGGCAGGACTGAGAAGGGAAGCAGTCTCTATGGGGGCCTTAGGAGGGAGCCCCTGCCTTCCCATCCACTTGCCTGCCCTCTCTGGACTTCAGTTTTCCCTTCTGTGCATTCGGGCTACTTCATCCCTCAGACTCGTCATTGAATCTCTGTCTGGCTCAGTGCCTAGCATGTAGTGGGTGCCCACTGTATAATTGCTGATGAGGCAGAGGAATCCCAGCCCAACTGATCAGTGCAGTAAGGGTCTCTGAGACCATTTGAAATAAGTGAAAGGCAGCTCAGCCCTTTCGGAGGTGGAGCTGGAGGTTAGAGGGGACTAGGTGTGAAGGTGACTCTCACCTGGAGCTGGAACTCCCCCTCCCTCCCACACCGACTGCACCATTTGTGTGCAGGAGAGGGAAGGGCTGGGGCGAGGTTCCCTACAGAGGCCTAGGAGATGATGTCTTCGTGGAGATTGGTGAGAAAGCCCCTGCCCTTTGCCGCTGGAGGGGTTGGGGTGGAGCAAGAGCTTGAGCCCCACAATGTTTCCCCAGGCCTTGGGCTTCTACAGCCTCTGGCCCCTCGCCCTTCCCTGGTCAGCATCCTCAGAGTGCCGTGGGGTGGCTCGCCCCCATGACCCATAGTCATCATGTAGGGGGGCCTCACAAGGGCTCGCAGTGCACTTATTTTCACGTCTCCCCCCCACCCCACCCGAATTCTCTTGGGAGCTGAGGTGTTATTTGGACTCCTGCTCACCACTGGATGGCTCCCTCGTGTACTTCTTGGTTCGTCTCAACCATCACCTTGAAGAAGTGTTGTCGTACTGTCCACATGGTTTCGAAGCACCCCCACCCATTTCCACAGTGTCCCACCCTCTGTGTTCCTAACAGCAGCCACCACTATCTGAAGACAACTCTCCTGTTCTTGTTTATGGCCTGTCTTCCCTCAAATGCACAGGTTCCATTACACAGGCGCCTCCCATGATACCTCGTTCATGCTCTGCCCTGGTGTGGAGCAGGTACTCAGAGCAGACCAAAGCCATCGTCCAACTTGGGTTAAGGCCGAGGTGTACACGTAAAACAGCCTTTGAGAACAGAGCACACACCACAGGGGACAGAGCATGAAAACCCTTGGCCAGATTTTTCTGCCTGTTCCTCTATACATCGGGCATTCTGGGTGACGTGAGGGCTGTTTGTACAGGGTGGCTGGGGACCACCAACCTCCCTTTCTGAGCAGCGAGAGTGCCTGTGCACTGAGCTCTGGGCTGTCTGAGGATGCCTGAGCTGGTACGGCCCCCAGGGCACCATCCAAGGATATCAGCCAGGAAGGCCCTGCAGGGGTGAGGGGAGGGCGATGGGCTGCAGTTGTGGGGATGACGAGGTCTGGGCCAGCAGAAAAAGGAGGTGCCCAGTGTATTGGGCAGGGAGGGGCTTTCCAGGCAGAGAGGGAGCAAGCAGCCTGGGCACAGATCTCTGGGATTCTTCGTGGCTGGGTCTCTCGGGATAGGAGGCCCAGGGAGGCTCCACCAGCTCTTACGGGCTTGGGGCAGCCTAGAAGTCTGCCCAGACTCCCCCACTAGCAAGTCACTCCTCAGTCTTGGTCAAAGCACACAGGAGGTGAGCCTTGTGCCCTGAACCTCCCCTGGGTGCGTGAAGCCGCCAGCTGGCCTGGCTGAAGGGCCACTGTTAGCAGTGTAGGAAGGGCATGAAGGTGACTGGAGGGTGAGGGATGGGGTAGGTGCGGAGGGGCCAGCACAGCAGTCGTCTGGGAAGTGGGCCTCCCCACAAGGATGGGGGTTGGGAAGGGACTTCGGGGTGTGTGTGATGAGCTGAGGAGGAAGAACTTCCGGAGAAAGACTCTCCTGGGAGCTGCAGGCTCTTCAGCAGAGGATGACGGGTTCTCCTGGCCAAATGGCTGGGGAATATTCCAGGAGGGCCTAGGAGGGAGGCCCAGAGGGACCCACCCACTAGGCCCTGGCACCTATTCTTCTCGGATCCTTCGATGTTTTCCTAAGGATTACTCATCCGGGACCCACCAGGGAGGCTCCTGGGGTTGTTTACTATAGGCCAGCCTCGGCCACAGGCTATTCTGGGAGCTGGAGGTGGGCGGGTCATGGTCACCACTGGGCACCTGTGTCCAGGCGCCATGGGCTGTGCAGCTCTAACCCTTGTCTGGGGGAACTGGACTCAGTGGGCAGGGGTGGTGGGGTAGGGGGCCTGGGCCTGTGGGACTTACACAGGGAGGTGCCACCAGCAGGAGCAACACCCCCACAGGAGAAGCTGAGTTGACACCAGGGTCCTCTGTGCCGGGCAGAGGGAAGGGAAGCGTTCAGTGGATAAGGGGGGGACTCTGGCCCATTCCTTCCCCAGCTGCATGGTCACAGCCTGAGGGGTCTTTGGAAAACAGGGCATCTTTGTTTTAATTTAAAGCAACAGGTCAAGAAGCCAAAAATGAACAAAGAAAACAAGAAAAGAGTATGAGTTTATTTTGTCCATTGTGGATTGTGCAAATACATGATTTATATTCTACCACACATGGAATGGCCATAAAAACTGTCCGTCTGTTGACCATAAGGAAAATGTCAAGAAATTGCAAAGGCATGTGCAGTCAGCTCACTGGGCGTATGTAAGTACCACACACACATTCATACAAAAGCATATGCATATATGATCTGCAGTCTGTTCATGGAACACAATGCAGTTTAGTAAGAACAAGATCTATGCTTTACAAATGTTCCTACCTGGAAATTAATACCACAAATAAAAACACTCATGTATATAATTTGGGGGTCATGAAGGAGATCAGAAGGGAAATTGCATGCTGTTTAAAAATGAGCGTGAGTGAGAACAGCACCTGTTGAAACCTGCAGGATGCCACCACACACATTCTGCAGGATGCCACCACACACCACAAGGGTGGGCAGAGGGGGCCTGGGGAGGTGACCACATTCCTAGAACTCTATAACGACCAAACATCCCTGCCCTGAGCTTTCCGTCTAGGAAACTTAAAGAAGAGCGATAAGGAAAAGCCCAAATGAAGAGTAAACCAAAAGCAAACGCAGCAGAGAGAGATTAGTGCCAAAGGTGGCTAATAAGATGGGAAAGGCCAGTGGGACAGCCCGTGTGTTGTGAGAGCCAAGCAAGGGACAGAAAGGGGTGCAGAGGAGAGTCCTGAGGTGAGGCTCAGAGCTGGGAGTGGGGCAGGCTTTATAGTCCCCAAAGCAATGGGGCCATGCAATACCAGCCTGATGGCACGAACAAAATAGGCACTTTAAAGGAAAGTTCCAATGAAGCTCTGAACAATGGGGCTAGACCCATCATATAGGAGAAGTTGAAGGGCTGTCAGATATTCATCCCTCTACACAGAAGTCAAGCCCGTTTTGCCTGACCTTGATCAGACCTTCGAGGAGTAGGTGTTATGGAAATTGCTCCAACATGGAGGGAAGGAATGGAAAGTCCCTGGTCATTTAGGGACTCCTGCGCTCTGATGTCCTCCAGATGAGGCCATACCACCTCCAAGCAGCGATCACTCTGTTCACTTCACAGATGAAGGAGAAAATCCTCTGATCCCTTGGTAGGTGCTGAAAATCCACTTTGTAAAATTCAACACTTAGTGGTGTTAAAAAATCTCAGCCAACCACGAAGAGTAGGAAATTGGCTCTTTCCAACTGGGGCACCCACGGGAAACTTCAGCTCCTTCCCACTCACCAGAGGTTTGTTACAAACACTGCTCAAATGAGGAAGAGCTTTGGAAACACACATGTGGCCATGTCCTCATGGGCTTGGAACTTTCCAGGGTTCCTTTCCCCCCCGTCCTCCTGCTCAGGCCCTGATATCCAGATCACTAAGGATATCCCTGGCCCTTTCTCAGCCCCTCTTACCTCCACTGCTCCGTCTGCCACCGTCCCAGGCTGGTCCGATTGCCCGGCTCCTGCTCCTGGGGGCGTGGTCTCAGTCCCAGGACCCCCGTCTCCGCGCACCTCTGGTCCTTTTCGGTCCCACTAGATATCATTGGTGCACTGGCACCCCGACACCCACGTCTGCAGAACTACTGCCCAACTGGCACTTTGCCCTTGGGTGACATGAAAATCTCATCCCCCCCCCCCATACTCCTAGTCAAATATTTGCCTGCAACAAACGATCGTGGAATCATCCTGGACATAAGTCTTCTTAACGCAGTTTTCAACACATGTTGAAACACTCACCACCTCCTCTGCTGAGTGAAGTTGCCACCGATGGCCTGGACTGTGGGGACAGCCTGTTCCCTGGTCTCCTGGCTTCCATCCTTGCCCTGCCCACCTGGCCCCCACTGCATGCTGCACTTGGCATCAGAGTGAGCCTATTAAGACAAACAGAATAGGTCAATTTT